AAAGGAACAGTCAACCAGATTGGACACACATAGTGTCTTTGGTGAGTTAACACAAAATGTAGCCACATACTTGCTCATTTGCAAAGAAACCTCCAAAAGGTACTGCCATATAATACTATAGATTTCAGTATTGGTACATGAGGAAGCCCTCTGCAGACATGTGCATGCAGCCCAGAATTTGAGACAGCGAGAGTGCCACAGAAGCAAACTGGACTCTCGTTTTGTGCACCATGTGTTCGTCATGTTGCTGGTGGTGTATCCTACAACCTCAGTCCTGTTTTCTCCTTTAGATTTTCTTTGCATTTTGTCTGTTCCAACACAACAAACAACCTTCTTCTGCTGTGCTGAGGTCACGGTATGACTGCGCACGTGTTGAACGCATTTGTGCACGCAAACACCCAATTAGTCGCACGTACAGAAGTGAATGCAACCTGCTGTTTTGAATCTGCAGGTGTCTCCAGACACAGAGGTGGAACTATAAATTGGTCTTAACTGTAGAAAGAAGCAGCTTTTCTCACAGAAACACAGAGGAGGAAGAGCAGCGGATCAATGTCTTTGCAGTGTAGCAAAGCAAACAGAGGACTTAAAGGATTCAGTGACTTCAGCTGTCTAATAAATCTGTTACATAATAAATAAGGCAGAAAAATCTATATTGTCTTTGGCCTGTCACATCTCTGCTCCCTGTTCTCATAATTATGAGATCATGACTTGTGTACGGTTTTCTTTGATGAATGCAATGCACCTCGGTTCTGAATTATTGTAGCAATTATTTAAAGTATTCATTGCCCTTGGTTGTTGTTCGTTGACAGAGCTGTCAACTATTTATTCCAATTTGCCGATGAGATATTGTTCACCTTCGCTCGGCACACGTACACGCTACATGGAGGCATTTACAGAATGTAAATACACCGAATGGTTTTTCCTGAAAGAGTGCCGACCACAAATAGTATCACAAATGATACTACTGGCTGTGTACATTTTGTATTTTGGGTCCAGGATGTTTTTGCCGAGCAGTACTTACTGAGTTTTGTTGCCACCACAGTGATGTTGTGTTGAACAGCTGTTTCTCTGTCCAGGTATTCATTAATGGAAATGGTTCCCTCAACGGTGTCAATGTCGAAGCAGCTGTCAGACTCTGTCTGCCACTCCAACGAATACCTGCAGAGATAAGAGCAGTCCACAAGTCCGCATGAGAGGAGTACAAGTGTCAGCGGTAAGATGGACGCTTTGTTGTCGCTTTGTTGACACAAATGTGAGAAATTCTCTCATTCTGGCTGTGGAGCACGCTGAGGCAATCTTTATCTCTTTATTTATTCATAAGCACCAGAGTAGTAGTACTTACAAACAGCAAAACTAGCACTTTACTGGTGAGTGAGATTCATGTTGCAGCTTATTCAGTCTGGGACTCCCATAAAGGGGAATTACTCCAATCAAAGGGCAAACCTTTCTGTTTAAAACTAGGTCATCTACAACATTAGTCAGGTCTCAACACACTCGTGGGGTACATTCATGTTTCTGCAGAACACTAGATCCCACCAAGAAGTTCTGATACATTCAAACAACAGGATGTCAAACAACTGAAGCAAGACAAACATTTTCTGTATTAATGTCTGTTATGCGTCTGACTTTTTGCCGTCCAATACTTGTTTTATTCAAACAACAAAAACTAGCAATATGTCAAGAACCATCTTGACATTGTTTTTTTAACAGTTACCATAGTTACAGGTAGATTCTTCTAAAAACATATTTATTTAGTTATTACCAGAATTCGATCTATTAAATTCAGTAAAATCTGAAAAGTCTAGAAGAGCCCTACGATTATGTTATTAATTATATCGGGAGACTTTTCAGGAGGACTTTTTTAGGCTTACACCGAGTGAGAAACTATTTTTATTGCATGGCTCACAACACACAGGTGACCAACACGACAACTGTCCCTGAATGCATCCTGTGCAGAGAAAGGAAACTGAAGCTGCCACTACGGGGGTTCTGACGGTCCTCTGTCGACAGCAGGGGTGTCCAATCCTGGTCCTCGACGGCCACAATCCTGCATGTTTTAGATGTTTCCCTTCTTCCAACACACCTGATTCAAATGATCAGGATCGTTATCAGGCTTCTGCAGAGCTTGATGATGAGCTGATCATATGAATCAGGTGTGTTGGAAGAAGGGAAACATCTAAAGCATGCTGGATTGTGGCCCTTGAGGACCAGGATTGGACACCCCTGACTTAGAGGCTACTCTGAAGATCATAATCTTTCCCAGCAAAGGGAGTTGTAGGGTTTTCGTAGACTTCGTGGAGTTTTGATGAAATCGAGGATGTTTAAATTTCCATTTTTTAACAAAGACATTAAAGATTTCTAAAAGAGCCAGAACAGCTACAAATAGACTTTAGATAGTTTTGTCGATTGTCAGTAAATTTCAGTCTCAAGATTTAATGTAGAAGTTTGGTTTCAGTATTTATTGGCAGAGTCATTACAGCTCTTGTGATTAAGTGCATAACTGTGACCACTATATTAAAACAACTTCAATGAAAAAAGTTGTGTCTGCCAACAATTTCACAATGCAATGTATGAAAATTGTACCCATATAATAACCACTGCACAGCTCAACAGTTGACGATGATGACATGAAATGACGACGACGTTGAGGTGTCAAAAATCTGTGTTCCTGACAATAGGTGAGTGATTCTGGACAGACGGACTGGCATCAGGAGCCTCAACTGCAGAAGAGCTATGGTAGCATTCATCTAAAATAGCACGTATATGTATACTGCTGAATTAATGTCATCGTGTTTGGTTTGTTTGGTGTCGTTTTTTAAAAAGATTCCTTTCCTCGTGTGTCTCTGGTGGTTTTCCTTCCTCCCTTTGTTTTCTCTTGTTTCTGAGACATTCTGTGTATATTCACTCTGCATTCCAAATCACATACTTCCTCCTTTCAATACGTACTACAGCCGCCTTCACAAAGTACGTACAGTTGCATGCAGTCTTAATACAGTTGGGATATACTACTTAGTCATAATAGTGCATCTTATTGTCATTCTATCTACGACAGTCTGCAGTGAGAAATAAGTTATTTGTGAGAGAAAGTTAGTTTATCATTTGCTTATATAATCATTTACTCAGTAATTCCAACGTGATCTTTTACTCATGTTCCTTTATTATTATCTACTCAAGTGGTGTCGGACGTGTGTGGGTTTTTTTTTTTTCCCAGCTACTCGTGTGTAGGTGTGTTGATGAGGCACATACACAAATAAAGTCTTTGTCTCAGTGATGTGTGCATTAATCGTTCGCCTGCTCCGACACCCCGAAGACAGCAAACTGCACAAGGGCATGAACCGTATGTGCATAAGCAATTAAGACCCACGCAAGTGTAAGAACTCCAGTCTGCGGTAGAGGACATCGTTTATTGCGCGACGGACATCGCAAACCTGACCTCGTGACCGTAAAAAAGACCGGTACAGGACCCAGACGTGACCCCGGGAAAAAAAGTGTTAAATACATGAAGCTAGTATTCTTTGGAGAATCAAGAACTGGGCGAGGAAGCTGTAATTATCTCCATCAAAAATGAATGAAGATGTTTGCCGAGAGAGCTGAGGCTGGTTCTATTAGTGCAGGTGCATTCAGTAAAAACTCACAAAGGTCACGTTTCTGTTTGCGAGTATTTGTTCAACATTGAAAATTTTCATAAAACGCTCCGTGTGCAGAGGATGGAAGGTCAGAATAGCCAGAAAAGCCTGCATGCTAATGTGTTACATCAGCGTATTTTGAGATACTGTTTTCGTCATAATGTATACTACTTAGTAGGACTTTTTTTTTCCCCTGCTATACTATAATGTTTGATAGTATAGGTTTTGAAACGCACCGATATTGTTGTCTGTCCCTTCTACAGGTTTGTCTGCTTGTGTTTCTTGAGCTCTTCTCTTCTGGGCTGAAGTCATTTGTTTGACTTTATTTCTTGCTTAAGTTTGTTCCCAATGCTTTTGATGCCATTCTGGATGGATCTTCTAAATCTCTTACAACAATTTTTGTGTAGACTAATCATTCGTCCAATTTGAAAAAAGAATTTAAAGCAGCACAGTTTGTTGCAAATTTATTCACGTAAAAGCATAATTTATTCGCCCAGAGGGAAAATAATTCCATGTTGCATCTATTAAGACTACGTCCTAAAATTCGTCCTAAAAGTTGCCCAAGAAACAAATATTCGTCAAGTGCCCAATTACTTTTGAACCCTTGCACTTGTACACAAAGTGCTATAGTTATTTTTATAAAGATATACACTTACTCAAATTAAAACAGAGACTTGGCACTTTAATGTACTCTTCATCATTGGTGGGTGTATACTATTTAGTAGGACATTTTAAATCTTTTTTTTTTCCTGCCATATCATACTTTAATGTTTGATAATATAGGTTTTGAAACGCACCTATATTGTTGTCTGTCCGTTTTACAGGTGCCAGTTTGTCTGCTTGTGTTTCTTGAGCTCTTCTCTTCTGGGTTAAAGCCATTTGTTTGACTTTATTTCTTGCTTCAGTTTGTTCCCAATGCTTATGGTGCCATTCTGGATGGAAGTCTCTTACAACAATTTTTGTGTAGACTAATCATTCGTCCAAATTGAAAAAGGATTTAAAGCAGCACAGTTTGTTGTAAATTCATTCACGTAAAAGCATAATTTATTCGCCAAGAGGGAAAAATAATTCCATGTTGCATCTATTAAGACTACGTCCTAAAATTCCAGCCCTATAGTAGTAATACTGATACTGAATGCAAATTCTAAACCTTACTGATTACTAATCAGCGTTTGAGTACGAGGTGCGACTGATATAATTCCACAGGTTACAAGAGCTTGTTACCTGACAGCACTGCTGCTGGCATCCAGGTCATGAGCCGTCACCGAGCCGATGATGGTCCCTGGAGGAGTGTCCTCATACATGTCTATAGAGTAGGAGGGCTTGGTGAAGACAGGAGGCTCGTCCACATCCAGTACATTCACTTTGACAGTCACCGAGTCTTTGAAGGGCCCCAGGTGGAGGAAACGGGGATCGAGCTGCGCATTGGAGGCTTCCACCTTAAAAGTGTAGGACTTCTTGGTTTCATAGTCAATACTCTGCAGAAACACAGGAATGAAGGAAAGAAGACAAACGGAGAGATGAAATTAAAAGAGCTGTACAAACTATTAAATCTCAATTTATTTAGAAGGGAGCTCCCGGCCACATATTGACCAAGTTTTCTCCTAGCTGCACAAAGTGAAATGCTTTTTCTGCAAAAAAGGATTACAACCTGGCCAGGTTACATGTGCAGTAATTATAATAAACCAAATGAATCAGGAATCTGAAACATAGGTAGAGGTGTCAAATTGAAATCCTAAAATTAATTTACACTGCTCTCTACTGATTATCATCACTGTTGATGCACAGGAAGCCTGGAGCTTTCACAGTACAATGCAATATAATTACAAGATAAGGATCTTGTAATCATCACATACTTAGAAACTTTCACATAATTCTGAGATGCAGATCTCATAATAATGAGATTAGAAAGTCACAATTAAAAGATAAAGTCTCAGCTTTCTTTTGGTGGGTGTAATGCTTCCAGATGTGTTGCGGTATCACAGTCCAGACAGTAAATACCTCAACATACATATTTTTAGTTTTTCAGGCTCTATGTTTCATAATTGAAGTAAAATAACTTTTAACTGTATAAATGCTACATTTAGATCTCAGTAACAGATCATTTTAATTGGCAAAGAAGTTGCCCAAGAAACAAATATTCGTCAAGTGCCCAATTACTTTTGAACCCTTGCACTTTTACACAAAGTGTTATTTTTATATAGATGTACACTTAGTCAAATCAAAACAGAGACTTTAATGTACTCTTCATCATTGTATTTAAAATTGAATGTTACAGTGCAGAGCCTGGAGATGTCCGAATCATTACAGACTGCATTATAAATTTAAATATCTGTAATAAAACATAAAACATTTTGACAAAACAAGTCTTTACTTTGCAAAAATGTACTGACTGAAACACAGTAAGACCTGCAGATGAACCAGATTCTTTACACTGTAGATTAAATCTTGCTATAGTAGCACGCTGGTAGCTTTTATTGTCAAGAAAATGCAACAGTGAGATCTGTATTTGTATTCATGAGACTGACATGTCACCAGGTGCGTAAAGGCAAAGCAGGAAAAGAAAAAATGTGATCAGTAACGCACCATATGTATGTATGTACTCAAAGGACTGCTTCAGAATCTGTGGAACAACCTTCACTGCTGAGCACTTAATCAGGAAATCCAACCTCTCTGTCACCACCACCCATCCAAGATTGTCATATCATACCATCACACCTTAAGCTCAGTCAAGCCCAATGCCACAATAACCTGCGCTATTGTTGCATAGCAACCATGACTGCATCATGACATATTCATTCATCATGGTAGAGACTTCAAAAGCAGCATATTTGGTTATTGATGTCCAATCACTCTGATGAATGTAGCGCTCACTGATGGATTTGGACACGGAGGAGGGTCGATTTCCATTCTTTCCCATGGTTATCTGTTTGAGAATGCACAGGGGGGAAGACGCGGGAGACAGCAACTTTGATATGGAAATGCAGCCGCAAACTCTACCAAGATACATTCATATACATATCAAACTAGGTTATCTCAAGCTGAAGCCGATTCACATTCCCCAGCTTGACCAGTGTTCCAAACTGTATCTCATCAATCACAAAACCATTCGGATGTTTCGCCTGCGCTGGAGCTTCTACCTGTTTTAAGTGGAGAGAATGGCTTGAAGACGGGTGTGTGACCGTTGGATCAGAATGAATACTATCTTTGGATGCTGACAGAAAAGCATCATTAGACCAAAACACACATGAACCCAGAATCTTCAAACACATGTAACAATGAGCCATAACAATAAAACCACCTGCCTACCACAACGCCACAGACCTCTGAAGGTGTCCTGTTACATCAGGCAACAAGATGCTAGCAGTAGGTCCTTTGAGTCCAGGGTATTGCAACATTGGGGCCTCCATGGATTGGACTAGTTTTCCAGCATTTTTGCTTGATCTGAATAAAATCTGTGGAATTTGGCCAATTTGACGCCTTTAACTCTGTCAGATTCCTCAAACTGCTCTTGAACAATGTTGAGTTTAACCAGAGAGTGTCTTTGGAATGTTAAAACAGTAGTACAGTAGTGGACACACTAGTTTGGCAAATGTATTGACCAATAGTAGATATTGAATCTGTCTTTCTTGACGTATATTTATTTCTTAGAACCAGTATTTTAGTTTGTCCACCAGACAGCACAGATGATCTATCTTTCAATGATGAATGTACCGCCGTATTGTGTGTGGTGTGTTTTAAACACTTTAGATGTTTTGATTCTCATGCATCACACAATAAAACCATCAGGGAGACATCTCATCACCACAAATTCATTCAGCGACATTACAATGATTTCAAACACAGAGACAAAGTGATGAAGAACGATCTTCAGCGACAAGAAGGACAAGGAATCCTGCAATAAATGGTACGGGTCTAAATTCAGAGTCAGCTGGAGATTACATGAAGAGACAGAAGACACTGAGACAGACTAGATTCTCTCAAAATGTTGAACAAACTATTCGCTAAGTATCTGGACAGATAATGTGTAACCTTGGCTTGGAGAATTGGTGCCGTTTCAGAGGCCAAGAGTTCTCACAAAAACCCTGCTCCTCCTGGGTGATCCCAAGGTTTTCCCTGGCCAGATAGGAATATATGTTTAATCACTTTAGCGTAACCTGTGTTTGCCCTGTAGTCTCCTCCTAATGGGACCCAAAGGGAACACCCCATTACAGAGGGACCAAGGTGGCATCCTGGTTAGATCCAGTCTGATACGACCTCAGCTGGCTCCTTTCAATGCAAAGGAGCAGCAGGTGCAGTAAAAGTTCCTTAAATGTAAGTCACTGTACCCTGTGGAGGACACTCAGTTGGCTGCCTTTACCTGCAATCTCTTTTTTTTTTGGTCAGTAGCCAGAGCACATGAATGTAGGTGAGGGTAGGAATGCAGACCGTTTGGTAAATTGACAGTTTAGCTTTAAAGCTCAGCTCCACCTTCATCAAAACGAACGAGCAAAGAATTCACATCAGACGCAGCACTAATCGGCCTGCCAATCACTCACTTCTGTCCACAATGACCTGTGAACAGGATGCTTGAACTCAGTAACTCCCTCCCCTCCTGCACTCCAGCATTTTCCTGCAGAGCATGATGGCATCAGATTCGGAGGTGCCGATGCTCATCCCAGCCACTTCACGCTTGGCTGCCCATGTGTGCTAGCGAGCCACGAGGATGGATACAGGGGTCAGGTGCTGCATTGCCACTTGGGCAGCCGTTGAGGTGTGTTAGAGAACAGGCCCTTGGCTACGGATGTCAGTTAAAATTAAATTAAAATTCAAGGATTTACATTATGTGCTCCTCGTTTGGAAACGTATCCAGAGCTGCATCCTCCACTCCTCCTGTCTGATGATATTAAACTAAAGATTTCCAGGGTTTCTGACACGAGCCTTCATCATCATCATATTACTTTAACCTAAAAGACAGGAGATGTGACAAGACGCTAATCATTGTGAGCTGAACCTCACATAAAGGCATTTGGCCAGCAAGAAAGAATGCGCACTATGTGGGAGTCTACGCAAGAAATCTAATACAAATGTAATTTAATGCACAAAAGAAGGAAGCATGAGTAATGATTTGGTAAATTTAAGGATGGACTGCCAGCTTCTCACTCGCTTCCTTATCGAGATCGTTGGTATTAGCACTTTATCACAATGTAAAAAACACTGTTAAGTCGATTCAAGTCACTGGGTTTATATGAAGATGCATCAGATTGTATTTGTTGAGCACATGTTTTGTGTGTAAAATATGCCAAGTATACAGTAACTTTAAGATAAATGTAGTGGTTGTCCATATGTTCGACATGTACAAGGAGCCGACAGTGGAAACAGCAGCAGCGCAGCACCTTTTGCAGCAGAAAAAGCATTTTATAATTAGATTCTGCTGTTGTCAAGACAAAACAGCAGCTGTCATTGAGAATCAGGGTTTGTTGTCAACTGAAGCATTTCCCACAGGCGAGTTAATATTTGTTGCAGCTTATCACGCTAAAGGTTTGATTTATGCTTTTGGCGTAAAAGATGTTCAAATCCCAGATGAGTCCACCTTGTGAAACTTTAAACCATTCTGAGTTTGAAATCAGTCTAAAGCAAGTGTACAGTGACCAGAACACTGGAAGTAAATTCTCACTATAGCTGCTTTCAGACGTTTACGGTGTTGTCTTCCACAAGTAAAGCTGTCGACAGCAGACTATAGGAGTAAGAGAATGTTGTGTATAAATATATTATATCATGTGTGAAGTATAGTCCTTAAGGTTTAAAATATAAAAGAAGTTGTATATATATGCATACAGTCATGAAAAGTCTTCTTTTGAAGAAGTTGCTTGGGTCTGTGTCTTTTATGGTTTCACAGGACAAGCAACAGACGGAGGAAAAGAAGTCCATATAAGGACTATTCAGTGTGATGAAGATGGGCCCCAATCAGTTGTTTTACGACCTGAACATGCATCACGTGACTGAGTAGTAAAAAAGAAGGGTCAGAGGCAACAGGAGTAGTCTTGCTTTGTCTGATGCCAGGGAGAGTTTGACCCAGAGCTCTGTAATGCAATATTCAATGTGTTATTAAATTGATTGATTGAGACCGAATTGAATCCGATCTCATCTTTAGAAACGAACAGAAGACAGTAATTCTCCAATAACAACTATAGACCCGAGAAGAAGGAGGAAGACGTGATGTCTCCATAGCAGTGAAAACAAAACATCTTGGAAATGGGTGCTGCCATCTTTCTATTGTAATGATATTTGCAAAGCAGAGTGTGTGCAATCCAAGAGCTAAAGCTACCAAGCTAACCGGGCATTTAGTCAACTCAACTCAAACAGAAAACAAAGTTTGTTTCGTAGAATTAATTATACTGAAGTCAACATAATGTTCTTCCTGAGATGACTCACAGATATAATGTTACTTTAATAATGATAAATTTAATTTGTGGTAATAGCTGATAGTTTATTGTTT